GGAGGGACAGTGCAGGAGAGGAAGGCCCTCTATGAGTTGGATTGATTCAGTGACTGGGATAATTGGGATGGGAGTGTCAGAGACAGTGCGATTTGCACAGGACAGAGCGGAGTTTAGGGCTGTTGTACATAGGGTCGCTATGATTCGCAGGCGACTCGACGGCACATAACAACAACAACCCAAATGCACGTAGTTTTAATCCATCAGCTTCTCAGTGGGATAATGATGAGCAATCTCATGCTGTGTGATTACCTGTCTCTGAAAATCAGTTGGAGGATCAGCTATGAGTCAGTTCTAACTCAACAGCACATAACAACTGCATATGTATGTTTGTATATCTTTTATTATGTATTCATTATTCTTTAAGCAACTGTGCTATATACAGATTATAGATACCTTTATGACACCTATTTTATTGTCAGAGACTCAGATTTTCTCCCTTCCATTGAGTCGGAACCAACTCATAGCTGCGTCTCCACTGGGTTTCTGAGGCTGTAAATCCTGGAGAAGGATATTTCCTCTCTTTCTTCTGCAGAGCAGCTGGTAGAGTCGAACCTCCAGAGAGGTTTAGCCTTGGGTTAGCAGTGTAATTCCCTATGGACTAGGCCACCACAGCTCCCGATACACTCAACCAAAACATTAAAATAAGGTCTTAACAGCCAAAAAGGCCAAGAAGTATACCGTATCTAACATTTAGTACAACCCTCAGGCCTACAGATCTAACAGTCTAGGATCTCACTGAAACTCAGAGGACACAAACTCTCAAGGCAGGAAGTTAGCTTCTTAATGCCACTACAGGGACATGGGGCTGAAGGTATCCTTTTAAGCTTAGGTGATGTTCTTTATCTAAAAGGGATGTTCTTTATGCTTGGTTATCCTCTCTGAGAGTTTGCTGGTCTACCTCAAGGCTTCAATTCCAAAGAAGGTATAAGATAAAAAGGGGTAGTCTAAATCACCAACAGCCTGTGAATGACGAAGTATGTATGGTTATGGGTATGGGCATACTGGTGTTTATAGGGTTAGATGTATGTGAGTAATAGCATGAGACTATACATGAAGAAGGTAGAAAGAATGTGTATGTGTATCTACATGGGGTATCTAAATATGGGATGTTCAGGAGTGTGTAGAGATGTGTCTTTCTATGGATATAGATGGCAGGTATTAATCCATGATTGTGTATAACATAGTAATGATTGTGAGGACAGTTCAGGACTTAGTGTTTTGTTCTGCTGTACACAGGATGACTCTAAGTTGGAACTGACTTAATGGAGCACAATAACAACATACAATTGGGGGGAGGGATGGAAAATGTGTATATGTGTAAAGTATGAATGTGTGTGTATGGGTTTATGTGCAGGGGATGTATGGTATGTGTATATATGTTGAGGAGACATAAGTTTAGTGTGAGATGTAGGTATAGAGGTGGAAGGAGGGATGTGATAGTTTGGGACATGTGAGAGGAATATTTGTGTATGTGTGGGGTTGAAAGATGTGGAAATGAAGGTATGGCCATAAGAAGTATGTTGTTGTTGTTGTTGCTATGTGCTGTCGCGTCACTTGAGACTCATAGTGTCCCTATGTACAACAACTCTGAATCCTGCTCTATCCTCAGACAACCTCATAGTTTCCAACACACTCATCCTGATAATCCTAGTCATTGAGTCAATCCATCTCATCCAAGTTCTTCCTCTCTTACTCTGTCCCTCTACACTTCCAAGTATGATGTCCTGCTCCAAGGACTGGTCTCTACTTGCAATATGCCCAAATATATCAGACAGAGCTTCAGAATCCTTACCTCCAAGGATCAGCTTGGTTTCATCCTCTCTAGGATGAACCTTTTCTCTTAGCAGTCCATGGTATATTCAATACTCTCTCCAGCACCACAACTCAAAAGCATCAGTTCTCCTTCTATAATCCCTAATCATTGTCCAGCTGACACATAGCAAGTAATTGCAAAGACCATGGCCTGGATCAGGCACACCTTAGTCTCTAGACTGACATTGTTGCTTATTAGCACTCTGGAGAGATCCCTGACAGCAAAATTTCTGAATGCAATTAATTTTTTTTATTTCCTTACTGCTGATGACAAGAGTGTTGAGCGTGGAACCAAGCAAGTTGAAACTGTTAACAACCTCAATCTCTTCACCATTTGTCACAGTGCTGCCAATTGGCCCAGTGGTGAGAATCTTTGCTTTCTTGATATTGAACTTCAGTCCACATTAAAGACTACAGTCCTTGACCTTCTGCAGCAAACACTTCAGGTCCTCCTCAATTTTGGCAAACAAGGTTGTGTCACCAGCATAATGCAGGTTGTTGATGAGTCCTTCCTCCAATTCTGATGCCACATTCCTCCTCATAAAGTCCAGCTTCCCAAATGATTTGTTCTGCATATATATTTCAAAGGCATGTAGACAGGACACATTCCTGATGCACTCCTTTCCCAATAGGTGAAAGGAATTTTTATGTATAAGGTGTGCATATATAGGTTATACACATTGTAGATATGGTTGTGCAGGGTATAAGTCTGTTTAGGGATATATATATATATATATAGAGAGAGAGAGAGAGAGAGAGAAAGAGAGAGAGGGAGAGGGGGGGGAATGTGAATATGGGTATGTATCATGTGTATGAGTGGAGATGTGGAGATGTGATGGGGAAAGTATATATGGCAATTATGTATATATACAGAGGGTGAGAGAAATCTGTACATATGGAATATGAATGTACAGTGCATAGGTGTGGGGGATGAGTGTGTTTAGTGTACGTGGAGTGGTGACAGAATGTATGTGTGTGTGTGTGTGTGTGTGTGTGTGTGTGTGTTAAGAATCTATAGATGTGGAGTGTGTGTGTGTACTTATAGGAATGAGTAAGAGAAATATTTGTGTAACTGGGATGTGTGATATGTTAAGGTACGTGAGAGTATGTGAGTCTGTAGATTGGTTAGAAGGAGCCATAATCACACAGAGGTTATCTGCTCAACAAAAGGTTGGCAGATTAAGCCCACTAACTGCTCTCTGAGAGAAAGGTATGGCAGTCTGCTTTTGTAAAGATTTTGTAAAGATCTTGGAAATCCTTAATGAGAAATTTTACTCTAGGTCACTGAGTGATCTCTGGTGGTCAAGTGGTAAGGAGTTACTCTACTACCCAATGGCATGCAATTTGAATCCACCAGTTTCTCCAAGAGAGAAAGATATACAGTCTTCTCTTGTGTGATTTACAGCCTTGGAAAACCCACTGGAGGGTCAGCTATTCGTTGATTCTGACTCATAAAACAATAACATAGGTCACTGAGTTCTGGCGGCCCAATGGGTAAGGAGTGACACTGACAACCCAAAAGGAGGCAGTTTGAATCCACTAGCTGCTCCTTGGGAGAAAGATAGACAATCTCCTCTTGTGTGAATCTCTGAAAACTCATTGAAGGGTCAGCTTTACTTGGTTCCAACTCAAGGGCAATTAGAGACAGGGTCACTATGAGTCAAAATTGACTTAACAGCAGTGGGTTAGAAGTAATATTTGTGTGTATGTAGGATGTATAGGGACTTAAGGATGTTGTCGTTGTTATGTGCCATCGAGTCACCTGCAACTCACAGCAACCTTATGTACAACAGCCCTAAACCCTACTCTATCCTGTGCCAATCTTATCGTCTCTGACACACCTACTCTCATTACCCCAGTCACTGAATCAATTCCTCTCATCAAGGGTCTTCCTCTCTTGCACTCTCCCTCCACCCTCCTGAGCCTGATGTCCCTCTCCAAGGACTGGAGCTTCAGAATTCTTGCCTTCAAGGAGCAGCCTGGTTTCACCCTCTCTAGGATAACTTGTTTGTTCTCCTAGCAGTCCATAGTATATTCAATACTTTTATCCACAGCTCAAAGGCATTAATTCTCCTTCTATCATCCCTAGTCATAGTCCAACTTTCTGACACATAGCAAGTAATTGCAAAAACCATGACCTGTATCAGGCGTACTTCAGTCTCCAGACTCACATTGTTGCTCCTCAGTACTTTGGAGAGGTCTCTGACAGCAGACTTTTCCAGTGCAATTTGTCTTTTAATTTTCTGGCTGCTGGTACCAAGAGTGTTGATTGTGGAGCCAAGCAAACTAAAGCTGTTAGCAATCTCAGTCTCTTCACCATCTATCACGATGTTGCCAATTGGCCCAGTGGTGAGAATATTTGTTTTCTTTCTTTCTTTATTTATTTTATTTATTTATTCTTTTTATGTGTGTACCGTCAAATTGGATCTGACTGGTACAGGAGGCGATTGTTCCTCCTTCAGCAGAGCATCGAGAATATTTGTTTTCTTGATGTTGAGCTTCAATCCATATTAATTTAAGGATAGGCATCTAATAATGAGATCAGGACACTAGAAAACTAATGGACTAGAAAAATCTAGGAGCAGAGATTTGACTTAAGACCTAAGTGAATATGTGAAGCTTGAAAGAATGATGTCTGAGCATTGCAAGATTAGGGCCTGAGGACATGAGGAGGCTCCTAACACTTGGATAAGAGTCATCAGACAGCTATACATTGCCAGTGTAACACCAGCTAGAGAAACAAGGTCATCTATTTGTAACTTCTTACCATTCCTCTTAGGGAGCTTTGATGGATTAGTGGTTAGGAGTTGCACTGCCAACTCAAATCCTGAGATTTCCTGGGATTTCAGGGGGCCCCAGCTCAAATCCACCAGTTCCTTTGCAGGAGAGAGATAGGCAATCTCCTCCTATGTGATTTATTGTCTCTAAAGATCACCAGAGGGCCAGCTATGAGTTGGTTCCAACTCTATGGTATACAACAACATTCCCCTTGTAGAGTACCTTGCAGAGAACCATACCTAGCACCCCAACTCGATAGTTGAGGGTGATAACGATGACGTTGCCATAACTGGCGAGGACACTGCCATCAATCATGTTGCCTGTCCCTTCCATGTAAGAACCTCCATGGATGTAGACCATGACGGGCTTAGCGCCACTGTCCCGAATGTCTGTAATGAGAAGAGGTAAGACATAGGCTGGGTAGGATGCCCTTGCACCTCCACCATCCTTGGGGGTGGAGTGCAGGCAGCAAAGCTATCTCAGGTGCCAGGATACCACTGCAATACCTGAGGGCAGGACTGATGAACTTGCTTAGCCTGGAGCTCAAGCATCAGAGATAGCTGAACTTCAGTGATGTAATTTTGGGGGAAGAGGGAAATCCATTTGATAAAGAAGTTTTATAGGGAGGAGACAAGGGGGTGGGGGTAATGAAGTTCAAGGATATCCTGGACCTCACAGCTGCTGAGTGTTCAGTGATGTTTTTAAAGACTGGTTTCAAGTGACTCCCAGCTGAAGGCAGCCAGGCATGTCTGATATGGCTATGCTTGGGGGAGCCAGGCCCTGAAGATGGGAGGAAACAGGAAAAGGACGGGCTGGTGCCTTAGCTAGACTGAGTCCCTGCCCTGGGCATCCAGGAGTCCTGGGACCTGACATGGCTTTTGAGAGCAAGGACTGGGGAGCCCTGAAATCCCAAAGACTATACCAGTTACATGGAAATATAGTCATTGGCAGCAGCTGGACCCCGAGTGCAGACAGAGACGAGAGGGATGAGAATAAGGGATGGCACAAGGAGGGAACAAGAAAAGATATGGAGAAATGGGAGGGAATGGCAGATATGGGGTAGATGGAAACTTGCTGACATGGTTTCTCAGTCATGTATTCCATTCTTCTTGGGCACTAGGCAGCCTTAGCCAGAAACAATGAGGATGCGGATGAGGAAAGGGGAAGAACTAAAAAGAAAAGAATCTGTCCTCAGTTAACATTAACATAAAAGAAACAGCCTCCCTACAGGAGACAAGGGACCATCAAGTACAAGTAGCATGACTATGGGGCTGGGGCGGAAAGTCAAGAGAAGGCTCCTGGTTTGATCACCTCTGCTAGTAACTTTTCATTTTGTGAACTAGATCAGTCACATTAGCTACTATTCACCAGTGAGCCCACCTGAACTACCCGGCACTTCCAGTGGCAAAGGGGCAGGACAAGGCATGGAGGTAGAAGGGAATATTTATTTTCTGCTGAAGAACACACAGAATATGTTTTTCTAAGAAGGAAGGACTGCAGATTCATCCTGAAAAGGGTTAAACCAGGCTGCTCCTTGGAGGCAAGGATTCTGAGGCTTCGTCTGACATACTTTGGACATGTTGTAAGGAGAGACAGGTCCTTGGAGAGGGACATTATGCTTGGGAGGGTGGAGGGACAGTGCAGGAGGGGAAGGCCCTCTATGAGGTGGATTGATTCAGTGACTGGGGTAATCGGGATGGGTGTATCGGAGACAGTTGCGATTGGCACAGGACAGAGCAGAGTTTAGGGCTGTTGTACATAGGGTCACTATGAGTCGCAAGCGACTTGATGGCACATAACAATAACAACAACAAGGAAGGATGGCCCAGTGAACACTAGGGACCTTATACTATCTACTGACTAAGCTGTGGGACCCTGACCTCAGCCTGACATTTAGCCTACAGCCTTTCTGGTCCTGTTCTCAATCTGTTAACAGTTCTTTACCCTGAAATCATCTCTCTCTGGGATAAGACTACGGAGGTTCTAGGTAGTGCTATTCTCTAGACCCTTTGGTTGCCACTGTCTTACTCAGTTTAACTTCCTACTGAACTCCATTGAACCACTCTTCCAGGAGCCATTTCCCAATGAAGCATAGGTGTCTCTCTTGATGAAACACAGGGATGTCCTCACCACTCAATTTCCTTTGTGCCTCTACTTGCCCTCCCCTCACTCAGCCTTCTTTCTCTCCCTGCTGCTCATAGGGGTAGGGGCTCATGAAAGGTGGGAGAGGAAGCTGTGTTTACTTTTATAAAACTGAGGACAGGGGTAGGGAATTAGGGTGAGAAGGCCATCTTCTCCATGGCTTTGCTTGTAGTCCCCCTGCTCCAGTCAGTACTGTTAATCATCTAGAACTTCCAGTGGCCAACCTGGCCAAAGATGGATGAACAGACCAATGGCCTTGTACAGGAAAAGAAACACCATAGGACAGACAGACAGACAGATGGGGCTTCTCCCCATCAAGAGAGGGAGGGGCTTTGTGCCATGCACCAGCCACCACGCCCTGCATCCCGCAAATACCTTCATCTTCATCCCCGTCATTATCCGCTAAGTCCTCGCCCTGTTTCTTAGCGCCGGATCCTGGGGACCAGACACGGGGAGACATAACAGCACAGAACAGAGAACAAAACAGAGAGAGAATTCAAAAACAGGATGACTGCAGTGTGGCCCAGCAAGCCAGTTCTTGGCCTGGGCCCAGAACAGGCAGGAGGGATGGCAAGAACTGAGAGAATGGGTGTGCTGAGGCCCAGACCTTCATCAGGATGATGGTGTGGCATGCCCATGATATGGTAGCCTCCTGCACCTTGATGTCCCTCTTCCCTGTTCTCAACAACCTATCTCAACTATGGCACTCCCCAAGCATTTCCAGCTAGAAAAGAAGTAGCAGGAACCAGGCCAGGCCACAGCAATATAGACTTATTCAAGGAAAGGATTTCTTTTGAATGGAAGGGGCTGTGTGTATACACAGGCAGTCTGAGCTAGATAGACAGGGATAGTGTTGAGGGTGAAAAATGTCATTGCCAGTGTGTGCAGAGTTAGGTACCAGGGACCTTAGCTTTAAACTCACTACTTAGGCCTAGTGAGCAGGTTCCAGATGGGCCTCAGCTGACCCTGATTCTCACAGGAGAAGATGGGAGATGCAGTTTTCCCTCTGATCCTCCTCACTGGAGCCCTCAGCTCTGGTTAATGACAAATGAAGTTCCTGCTTTCAGGAAACAGGCTTGAGGGCAGCAAGCATTGCTCTGAGAAGTAGGGAGAGCCAGAGAGGGACAGAGGGAAAGAAGAAAGAGGGAAAGGAGAAGAGGACAACAAGAGAGAAACAAAGTGATAAGAATAATAGTAATAGCTCCTATCAGGTATTGAATATTTACCATGTGCTAGATGCTCTATTTATATCATATTGTTTTATTCTTACAGCCCTATGGGGTAGGTATTGTCCTTATTCCTATTTCATTGATAGGGAAACTGAGGTTCAGAGAAGAAAAGTGACTTGTTCAAGATTGTATAGCTAGGAAGTACTAGAAGTGGGACTCAAACCTTGGTCTGCTTGACTCAAAAGCTTAAGATCTTTCCACTGCACCATGCCACCTGGTGTTAGTGGGGGGTGGAAAAAAGGGAAGGATATGAGAAAAGAAGTGGAACATGGAGAAGAGGCAAGAATAAGAGAGGAAATAAGAGACCAGAGGAGAGAAGACATTTAGGATCTAGGAGCAAGTTAGCACCAATTCTTTTTCCTTTTCTAAAGAAACTGCCTTGCAGGGTAATCAGAAAGCTCTGGTGTCTTAGTCTACAGCAAGTTGTGCTGCCAAGCAAGCCCAAAGGCTATGGGGTTTCAAAAGGTTTGAATCCACCAGCTCTGTAGGAGAAAGATGAGCAGTCTCTCTCCTCTCAGTGTGATTTACAGCCTCTGAAACCCCAATGGAGAGTCACTATGAGTCAGAACTAAGCCAACAGCAGTGAGTAAGTGAGTGAAGGAGACTACAAATACATCTTGGAGCTGAGGACAGTTGTGGAGAAAGAGGACCTCCTACTTGGATGTTGGTCAGTATGTAGAAACAGGTAATTCTGCCAGCACCTCAGAGCTTATCCTCTGTTATCAGCTACTCTCAGACTGAAGAGAGTAATTTGTCTTAATTGGTCCAAACTCTGAATTTCCTTACAGCTATGAATTAAGATTGGGATTCTCCCTCACACCACATAATGGCTTTTCAACTACGGCCAGAGCCCAGCCCTAGAGGTAGAATTAAGCTTCTGACTTCCAGAACTTCATGTGGTGTTTACTGTCTGCATATCATGAGTCAGTGCACTGTCCTCAGAAATCCTGTGAGACACAGGGCCTCATCACCTACAGTGGACAGCCCCCATACTGAAAGAAAAACTGTCCCATCCCTAAACATGAATTCACTTCAGCCTAATGGGAGACAGGGATAGTAAGGTAGACCTTCATTAGGAAATCCTTAACTTCCCATCAGCCTTGACTTTTATTATGTGACCCTTTTGCCCACTCTGGGAGTATCCCTTGGTCACTCATTTCCCCAGTCTCCTTCACAAAGGCAATTTTTATGCAAAATGTGTGACCCTGGAGGACATTATGCTGAGTGAAATATCTCAGTCACAAAAGGACAAATACTGCATAGTGCCACTGTTGTAAAGCGGGTCTGACATTGGGGTTGAGGGGAACCTAAGAAAAGAGGGTATAAATAAAGTATACTGCAGTGAAACAGATGAGGGAGAGAACTGTTTAAAAGGAATATAGGATTAGGTATTATTTTCATGACAAGATGACAGAAAAAGAAATGCATAGTAAAGTGGACTGTTGACTTGGGAGGGGATTGTATCACAATGAAAGAAATTTTTTTTTCTTTTCAAAGAGAAAAACAAACTGGGGGAGGGGTGGGCTGGGAGGAAAATATGCAACAATGAATGAATGGGGGAAATTAAATGGAAAGAATATTCTGTAAAAATATTTGTTGCATTAAAAAATCATTAATAATAAAAAAAGAAGAAAAAGGCAATTGTTACTCCTCCGTCTTAGTATTTGCTTAGTATTTGCTCTTTACTGCCTACACCTTTCACGCAGACCAACTTGATCACCACCTACAGGCATTAAGCTGGTGCAGGACCAAGCCAGCCCTGGCTGAGGTATGTATGCCACAATCCTAACCTCTAAACTCAAGACAGTATGAGTATCAGTCTTCACCTAGATGCAAGCTTTGCAGCTTTGTCCCAAATGATCAACAAGCCCTGGATAGGGAAGTAAAAAACTGGCTAGATGACCAAATGCCTTCCTCATCATTGTCTGGAACCCACTCTTCATTTTGGCCTGTGGGGTTTAAAGAAAGCAGCTGGGTTTTAATGCCAGCCTATGAGCCTTGCTGGTGCAATGTGCTTGGCTATTAACTAAAAGGTTGATGGTTTTAATCCACCCAGTGATTCAGCCTAAGAAAAACTACCATTCTTCTCCCCAAAAGATTACAGCCTAGAAAACCCTAGGGCAATTCTACTTTGTCACTATGAGTGAAAGCTGACTCAATGGCATGGCATGTTGTTGTTGTTGTTGTTAAATGCCACTGAGTTGCAGGTGACTCATAACAACCCTATGAAGGAGAGTCCTCGACACTATGGCATGGAATAGTCATTTCTAAATCTTTATCTCCTATCCTTCCATATCCCAATAGCACACAGCACATGGTCTTGCCCATAGTCAACAATCATAATTGGTAAATGGTTGTATTTGGGTAGGGATTTCTAATTGGTTAAGCTCTTTAGCCAAATTCTCGGGGTAAAACTGTACTACTCTAGGCTCTTAATAAGAAGCCCTGGTGGCCTAGTGCTTTACTTGTTGGGCTGCTATCCTAAAGGTTGACAGTTTGAAAGTACCAACTGTTCAGTGGGAGAAAGATGAGGCAGTCTCTTCTCATAAATATTTACAGCCTCAGAGATAAGATGTAAAATCACCATGAATTGGAATCAACTTCACAGCAGTGGAGTTCATTGGAAGCCTGGGTAGATCATTCTTTTCAAGAACTTGTTAATGTTAATATCACCTTTCCCTTCCCCCTATACCACATAACTCAAAGAAGTAGATTTTAGAGATCCTTTTCCTGAATTCATTTATAATCTAATGCATGCCCAGACTAAAAGAGTTTCCTGCTACCTTCTTAATGGAAACAACTTGTCTAAGGTCTTGCCATGAGTTAGAAGCAGAGCTGGGGCTCAGGGAAGCTTTATGGTTCCCAGATCTGTATTCTTTCTGCAGCACCGCAATGCTTCTTCATCGGAACAAAAATTATTTACTAGCTGCCTACTGTGTGTGAAGTCCTAGACTGGATGTGGAGATGGGACAAAATCCCAGGGTGGCAGGTCTTACTCAAATCACTGAGGGAATCTGCTCAATATGCAGCCTCTAGGACTGCCCTGAAAGAGTCTTATGCAGTAGGTCTGGGTAACACTGTATCTCAGGGGTCCATCCAGTCTCTGCCAACCCCTACTCTGAGAAAACTTTACCTAGGATATCAAAAGAAAACAAACTTCATGCTTGTCAAAGGGCTGTAGGGATCAGGCTGTGATTTTTCTACTTGTACTTTAGTACTTTCTAACTTATATACAAGTCACCATTTTTTTTTTAAATTGGGGAGGTGGGAATGATTAGCCTCTTTGTACTGCAGCAGAAAGAATACTGCCCTGAGGGTCGAAAGATCCAGGTTCCAAAGGCAGCTCTGCCAAAGAACAGCAACATGGCCTTGAGTCACTCTCCTATGCCCATTCCCTGAGCTATAAAATAGGGATCGGGAGTTCTAATGGTTTACTGGTAAGGAGTTGTGCTGCTGACCCAAAAGCACACAGTTGCTCGGTCCACTAGTTGCTTGGTGAGAGAAGGACAGACAATCTCCTCCTGTTTGATTTGCAGTCTGAAAATCAGCTGGAGGATTAGCTATGAGTTGGTTTTGACTCAATGGCATAAACCAAATACAAATAATGATTACTGCCATGTTTCCATAAGCATGGGTAAGATTTTATGAAATACAAAAGTACTTTATAGAAAATGAAAAAACATTACCTAGGGGAACAAATTCCTCTTAGCAAGAAGGTAAAATTACAACTCAGTATCTTGCACCTCTTTTATAATATATAGTTTCCAGGGACCTCCCCATTTTATGCCAGCAAAGCAATCTGCATTTTTCAGCTATCTCTGGACATAAAAATGGTGGGAGTGGTGGTAGGAGTTACTAAGTCTGTGCATACATATTTTGTCTAAGCTTCAGAGTAAAAGAGTTGAGTTTATTAGACTTTCAACCCTGAGGGGGGAAAAATACAGGAGGAATGATCTTATGGCTCAACTCACTCAGAAAAGGAGGACCCTCTGGATCACTTCCGGCTGCCTGGAATTTCTCCTATAGTGTCACAGAGAGAGCCCCTGACTCTGACAAATGCCTTAGGGTGAAATTTGGAGCTGAGAAGACTGGGCTACTGTTTCTGCTCTGAGTCTGCCTTAAGCCACCAAATCCCCCCCCCCCCAATGCAGCTAGAGTCCTTATGTCTGCTCACCAACCTCCCCACTTCCACACTCCACTCCTGGAGGGGGTGGGTGGGTGCGGGGATGGTGGCAACCTGAGTTACTTGAAGGAAGGCTGGGTCCTCAGGGCCAAGGGTAAGTGGGCAAGCAGCCCTCCCTTTCTCTCTCTCTCCCTCCCCTCCGGCTCGCTACCTACCTCCTTTCCTACATATTTTCTTGTTGGGCTTTCGGGCGCATTCCTTGGAAATCCGCTTTACTGTAAAATGAATAAAAAACTAAAAAATAACAGGAGGCCTCTGCCCAGGGGCATGCATTCCCCCACCCTCAAGTCCCAAAAGCTGCTCTGCAGATGGGCACATAGCAGAGAGCCTGACCCACCATCTCCTTGTTTCTGTCACTTACCTTAGTGTATAACCCCTGTGGGAGGAGCATCAACTAGTAGAAGAGGAGGCATTTAAGTGTTGCCCACCAGGCTTGCCCCCTCCACCTTTCCAGCTCCCTTGACCATATATACCTACTACTTTTCAAAGCAAGTGGAATGAAAACAGGGGGGCCTGGTGGAGGCAGCATTCTCCTGCAGGCAGTTGCCAGCAGTGACCCATATTCCTCCGGAGAACCCTCCACCCATCCAGAACTCTGGAACTAGACCTATCAAAGCTCTCAAACCTGGCTAGACTTTTCCTGATAACAGTGTCACACATGGGAGCTTGGACAGTGCTGGGAGAGGAAAGAACAGGAAGGGGGGAAGGGGAAGCCAAGCAGAGTAATGGTTAGAAGCATTTTCACAGATGCATGCTGCAGGGCACACAACCACATGCAAAGCCAAAAACACAAAGCGTAGGTGGGAGGCAGGAAGGTCACAGTGCCTAGCTATAGCACTCACCATCCTCTGTGGGCACATAGACATTTAGATAGAGGCAATCTTCATTGGGTTCCTGGATGTAAGTTGCGACGATATCCAAGTTGGCAGTGAACCAGACTGGCAGCATGACTTCAGGCACAGCTGTGTGGATGTTCTGGGGGCACACTGGGGGGAAGTGTGTGGCGTTCCGGATGCCAGACCAGGATGGGGGTGGTTCTGGGGGCAGAAATCGTTTCTCACCAATAGGGGGAGCTGCATAGGGCACCCCTAGGTATTGGTCCACAGGACCCAGTATCTCATTGGGCAAGGGTACCCGGGCACCCCTCAGCTTCCCAAAGTGGGTATTGACTGTTGGTGCTGAGGCCTGGGTACTGGCCCTCAGCACCAAACTGAAGAACCACAGGGTGAGGCACAGGCTCTGACCAACTGTGGATTTGGGGCTCAGGGAGAGGAAGGGTGAGCCAAACTGTAGCCACATGTTCTGGGCAGAGGGACTGGCAAGAGAGGCAGACTCCAGGGTCATAGCACCAGCCCAATAGACAGCCTTTTCATGGCCACACTAACTGGAATCTCAAAATTAAGCTCTTAAGGGACACCAATAGGTCCCCAGCAATGTAGCAAGCTGGTCGTCCAAGCACCAAAGCTTCAGAAAAGGGACTCCCTTAGGGTCAGACAGTCCTGTGGAAAGAGGGAAGTATGAGTCATCCAAAAGTGTCAGCAAAGGCTACAGAGCAGATATTTGGGACTTACTGGGCTTGAACTCTTCTCTTACAGTCAGGTTCCATGTACCCCACGTTCCAGAGACTCAGCCAGTCTCCACTGCAAGTTTGAACCATTCTATATTCCTGGCCATGGTTGGGAAAACCACTGTTAAGTCCACAGTCTCCAATTTCAACTTTACTGCCAGTGGAACTCATTAGGGTCAGCTGCAACCATTTGTCAGAGTCCCCAGAATTTTTTATTCCCTTTGTGTGCATTACTTAGGTCTCATTACTACTAAATCCTAAAGCCTCAGTCCTATCTGTTGGCTATCACCATTCATCGTAGGCATTGCTGATAGAGCTCAACACTGAGCTCTCAAGGGATATCTAAAAGCCCATAGCTAATGTTTAGGGAACTCAGATTTATTGAAATAAACTCATAAAGATTAAAAAAATGAGTATGAGACAAAGCCAGGATCACAAACACTGTGATAGTCACTCAGAGTCATACATTTCAAACCTACAGTTGCTAGGTACTGTCAAGTCTACTACCACTCATAGTGACCCTATGAGTCTACCCTGCATGCCATATATCTGTCATGCTCAAGCCCATTGTTACACCCTGTCAATCAATCTCATTGATGGTTTTCCTCTCTTTTGCTGACCTTTCCTAGGATGATTTTTTTTTCCAAGCACTGTCCCCTTCCTGACAACATGACCCAAATAGGTGAGATGATGTTTCACCATCCTTATCTTTAAGGAGCACCCACAGAGATCTCCTCATGTAGTCCTACATTTGGAGGCAGTCTCACAGAGCCAGTGACTCCGAGAGATTAATTTCAGAGACACACACAGAGATTTAACTGACATATAATCACACACACTTGAACAGGTAAATATCGAGAGACACATGTAGCATATAATACATAGGTGTAGAAACAAATAACAAAAAGCTCAGATGTATGGGTTTTCTGACACACAGTGGCAGTCAACACACAGGCACAAAGTCTTCCACATGGACACTGGAGTGCACACAGACACACGCACTCACGCACGCCTGCACGCATGTACGCACGCAGGCGCGTGCACATTTAGTTTTCCTCCATTTCTCCCGCCTTCTAAGATTGTTGGCTTGGCTTGCTCCTTTAAGAACTGGCTGAAGGGATGGGGGAGGGCAACCAAGAGGAAAAGAAGGAGGCTGAGGAAGAGAGGGAGGGAGGGGAAGTGGGGAGGAAGTGTTGAAGGGACTAAAGGGGTGGAGGCTTAGAGGAAATTAGGAGCAAAATAGAGGGGGAAGGTCCCAGGAATTGCCTAGAATAAATTTAAGGTTGGAGAAAGTAAGGGATAGGAGTAGGAAGGTGGGGCAAGAGAGTGAGTGCACGAGTGCGCGAACTTGCAGTGCGCGCTCGTGTGTTGAGGGATAGTCCGCAGCTGAGTTCACACAATCCCCCCATTCACCATCTCCATGGCAACTCAGGGGCACAGACCGCTCATTCACACGGCTTCCCAGCCAGCAACCCTCTTCCCCCCCTTAACCCTGACAGTGCAGCCTTCACTTCAAGCATTCACTTAACCCTTTCTAGATGCCTCCCTCTCCAGTAACCCTTCCGGTGCCAAATGTTGCCCCTGCTCCAGTCAATTCTCTGCAGCCCCTCCCAGGTGAACGCAGAAAAACCGACCACCAACCGCCCTCTGTACCCTGGGAACCACCGTCTGATCCCCATTCTGGTGAAACTTGCTAGTGGGGGAAGACAAGGGGAGGTGGCATTGCTGGGGTTGAGAATGGCATCTGTGGCTACTTTTGGGGCTGGAATGGTATTGGCCAAGAGACATTGTACAGAAATGGAATGGTATTGAGAACTGCGGTACTGGTACTGGGGGCTATGAGTGGTTCTGAATTGATGGAGCTGCACTGGAATGGAGAGAATAGAAAGCCCTGGGGCTGAGGGGGGGGGGTGTAGCTGCAGAAATTGAGGGACAGATTTGAGATGCTATGATGGAAGGAGATGGAGCTGCACGGCGGGGGAGGGGGAAACTGATAATGTGCAATAGTCAGGTTCAAGAATAGGGCCAGGGGCCTTCAGTAAGGGTATTTTTCATGAGTATGTTGACTTGCTTTAAAAAATAAGACCAAGGGTGGGAGGAGAATAATATAGGATTTAGGTAGATTAGGGAAAGGAAGGAAACAAAGTAGGGAAGGATTGGCAAGAGGTTAAAGTGCTACTGGAGAATTTGGGGTTGAGAGGGATAGGGGGCACTGGCTGAGGAGTGGAGGAGTCCTGGAATGGGAGGAAATAGGATGGAGGCAAGGTGCAGGCATCTAGAAGATGAAAGACTGGGGCAGGTGGTCTCACCTGTTCCCCTGGCAGCTGCTGTTTCGGGTGACTGAACCGAGCCATGGACCACCCATATAGCCTCCAGGCCAAGGGCTCCTCCGAATCCCGGAGATCTGCTCTTCTTCGGCCTGGCCCGCCTGGCTGCTGTGCCCGCGCATCAAGAGGAAGCCCGAGCTGCTGCGCGTGCCCGAACACAGGGGGGCGCGGTCGCTGCCATTAACTCCTTTTGTGCCAGAAATGGCACAAGTCCTGGTATATGGCCCAGTTCCCCCATAATCAAGCGTACTCCACTTGGGTGAATTCCCTCTCACTAGATGCTTCAAATAAGCAGCTACCAAACAGGTGATCTTCCAAGGCTGTTAGTGTAAATTTGACCTGCAAAGTGTCAAGTTTGCTCCCCTTGGAACAAAGAGAAACAGGCATGGCCTGGAGGAGCTCCAGTCATACTTTACAAAGACATGCCTCTATCCAACTCAACATCTTTCCTCTCCAATAGCCAGACCCACCCAAGCAGCAATCATTTTGCCCTCTTGTCACTTTCCCAAAGGTCAATGCTGTTCCTTTTTGCTGCTTCTGCTGGAATGTCACCCTTCCAACTTCTATATGCCAGCTGTCTGACCATTTTAGTCTCTCCCCTCCAGACCCAGCTTTGTGTCTTATATTTGTCTATGTAGTTTACTTCTCTAGTACCTCCCCACTCCCCAAGTTCCTCTGAATGAATGCCCCTTATCCTAGCTAAGCATCTATTCTTAACTATTTATCAGTATAGAACAGGTCAGAAGAAAGTGTTAGTAATATGCGCCTTTACCCTGTTATGGAATTCTACTCCTTGTATATCCAACTGTTAACTTTTTTCCCCCAACTGTTAACTTTTAAGTCTCATATGACTGAGGGCATTGAGAATCTCAGAAGGATTTTTTGTATTCTTTATAACTTGTACACTGATTGGTGTTCTTGGTTTTACCAGCACACTTGCCACTTGCCTATGATATAGTGCAACTATGTCCAGGACTTTATCCTTAAATTGTTAAATCATCCTATACCACCCACCTAGCCACATAGCTGATCAGAAGCCTCCATTATAGTAAACCACTTGGCCCTCTTGGGTAGCCTTGGAACTATGACCCAAAACCTGAAGGCAAGGGGGCTGAGGAGGGCCTGGCTCCAAATATAACTCTGGAATAACACTTTTGACTTTTACCTACAGTAAAATGAGGATCAGCAATAGTAATCTTGAGTAACTACCAAGGCAGGTCATGTGAAAACAAGCAGTTTCAACAAAAGAGCAGAGAGAAGAGTACTTCCTTTTACTGGTCTTTCTTCCTCCTAGAACTATACCATCCTTCCAGCACCTATTCCACAGTGAATTTTTCCTTCCCAGAAATAGGACTTTCAGACAAGGTCTCTGTTCTATGAAAAGGACACAGCTTGGTGTATGACAGGGACCACACATGGCAAAAAGGTAGGCAATGTCTGTCAGCTCTCCCGCTAGCTTGTTCCTGGCCCACCATTTGTAGTGTATGGAGGAAGAATCAGGTTCCATTGGTTTTCTTCTGGCCTAATGGCCCCTCCCAAATTTTAACGGTATATCCCCCATGGGGGAAAACGCCATAAAGAAGGTGCAACACTTAGCTGAGTAGCTGCCCTTCTTAAGAGACCAAGGGCTCATAACTTAATATGTTGCTAGCTTAGAAAAGGGAAGAGAGAGTAGCAATTCAATTAGAATCAAGAAATTAAGGCGGTGGAAGGTAAACAGGAGATGATCTGAACAGAATGAGGGGTCTAACTTATTAGTCCAGGCCTTGGAATTCTCCCAGCACCCCAACTTTCTCAGACATGCACAACTCCCACACTCTCTTTGTAAAGAAGCTCTGTGTATTGGGTACAACAGCTCTGGGGTTTCTATATAAATAATAATACAAAACCCAACAGCACAATGCTTCACAATAACAAAAATACTAAAACTTATTAAAAAAGGAGCCTGAGGGAAGGGTGCAACCACTACTGGTGCTAGCCCAGGAAGGGGATTGGGAATTAAGAGGAGAAGGTAGGGCCACATCCAGTGCACAAGCAGTTCCTCCAGGTGGCTCAGTAGCGTCCAAATATGTTGGTATTGGGCTGTGGTTGAGTATCTGTGAAAAATCAGAGATTATAAGGGGTGATAGACCAAGCAGAAGTGTGGGTATACATGAGAATTAGTCAGGTACCAAGAAAAGGGAATACAATACTACCCCAACAATTTGGGCCTGAAGCAATTACCTCAGTACTTTTACCCACCCCATCTTCCATTTATCCTATAAGATTGTCCTTAGGAAAGAAGGCAAGCTTACTGGAGAGCTGTTGTTGGAGTTGACGGACCAGTGCTGCTGTCTGTTGCTGCTGCTGGGTCTGCTGAAGGCCCTGGCGCTGAAACTGAGGTGGAAATAGGAAATGAATGACTGAACTCTAATTTTCAATCTACTTCTCCATCTTCATCTCTCTCTCTCTCTTTTCAGTTTTATGCCTTGCCTCCCACCTCTATACATTTCCACTCTGTCCCTAATCCAGTTCACTGGCTACAATGCCCAACTTGGTCAGCTGTGCCTGAGCCTGAGGCTGTAGTCCAGCAGCTACCTGAGGCTGAGATTGGGGCTGGGGCTGGGACTGGGGTGGAGCTGCCTGCTGCTGTTGCTGTGGTTGCTGCTGTGGTTGCGGTTGCTGCTGCTGCTGCTGCTGTTGCTGCTGTTGCTGCTGCTGCTGCTGCTGCTGCTGCTGCTGCTGCTGTTGCTGCTGCTGCTGCTGCTGCTGCTGCTGCTGCTGTTGCTGTTGTTGCTATGAGAACATAAGAGATATTTATGAAGGAGAAGAACAAGGGAGCTGACACTCAGTGCTGGAAGACTGGGGAAAGGTGACGAAGAAGCAGAAAGGGAATCCTGGGTCCACTGTCTTTCCTTCTCAGACAGCTGTATAAGAAAGAAGTACCCAACTGGAAATTCCAAAATCCCTCCTATCAGGATCCTCAGTAAACACTCGCTATAGAGATGATGAAGATGACACAGAGGGGGACAAAGTTCAGATCTGTTGTTCAAAGGGTTGCTATGAGTTTTAGTTGAAACCTAACAATAACAATACTGGGATGGATGTTCCTTAGAGGTAAGGATGGTGAAACTTTATTTCACATACTCTGGGTCTATTGTCAGGAGTTTCCTTAGAAAAAGACATCATGCTTGCAAAGGTCTCTACCTTTTGGAGAGGTCAGTGAAAAAGAGGAGGAACCTCAACAAGATGGATCAATACAGTGACTGCAACAATAGGCTTATGCATCTTAAGGATGGGGCAAGGTTTTGATCTCTTCATAGGGTCATTATGAGTCCTACTCAACTTGATAGCACCTAACAAGAACATACACCAGATACTCTACTGGGTACTTCATGTGCTCATTTTAAACTTGAAAACAACCAGGAAAGAAACTGTGCCTTTCTTTCTCTGTGGCCTCTTAGGTTCGAGATGAAATCCCAGTGCCTTACCCGCAGGATCTGCTGCTGCTGCTGTTGTCGGATGTGGTACTGCTGCTGTTGCTGCTGTTGCTGTTGTTGCTGCTGCTCAGGCAAGATAGAAGATGATCGTACACCTGCTTGGACTCCTTGAGAACTCAGTGGAGTCATGTTACCTATCATAGGTGTCTGCTGCAGTGCCTGGTGTGAAAATCTGCAGATAAGAGACAGAGGTCAAGGCATCAGGGGTGGCAGTTTAAGGAAGTGCAACCCTTGGGTCCCTGATCTGCAAGACTTTAGATGTCATTTCATCAATTCCTCTTATCAACAACTAGAAGAGTCCTTTGGGATTCTGATAGACTTCTTAGTAGAGAATAAGGGGCAAAAGTAATGCCCTATTTTAGTACCTCATAACCTTAATGCTTAAGAATCTTTTGTTTTGTTCTAGCTATTTTTTGCTTATAAAAAGAAACTATAGCACATGGTTATTGTTGTTATATGCCATTAAATTGGAACTGACTCAGTGACCCTCCAGTAGGTTTTCAGAGGCTGTATATTATTGCACAGGAGGAAATTGCCCATCTTTTTTTTTTTTAAATTGTCCGTCTTTATCCCACCAAGCAGCTGATAAGATTCAAACCACCTGCCTTTGGAATAGTAGTGCAACTCCCTACCACTAGGCTACCAGAGTTCCCTATAAACACTCATTGGTTTTTTTCCCCCTTTTTTTCTTTTTCATTCTCCAATAACATTTCAGGATATTAAAATTTCAGTTCTCTTTACTTCCTCTCTACCCCAATCAATACAGTACTGTAACAATTAGCTGGAACCCCTCTCTCAAGTCTTCTTCCATCTTTTATTAGAAATCCTATCTACTATTTTCATCGAATCTTTATAACATGTCCAACTCATCCTACTGCTTTCCTGACTGAAAGAACCTTTTATGGGATTGTGTTTCAATTCTGTAGATGAATTCAAGGCTCTCCATCAACTTGACCACATCTGTCCTATTCTTTGTAATTCCCTGGCATAAATTTTACACTCCATTCAAGCTCTTTTCCTTCCTTTCCTCCAAGCCACCATATGCATTTCTGTCCCTATGCTATGTCCTCTACTGGATATGCCCTTCCTCCACATCCTCTCCATAAATCAAAACCATAGTTAACTTTCAACTCAAGTCAGCTTTCTTTCTTGACATTTTCTGCTGTGAATAGGGTTGATACTCTCATACTTTTTCTAAATTCCCATTTTATTCCACAGCACACAACTGCACACTTGCACAACAGCACACTTCAAGCCAATCTCTAAATGATCATCTGTGTAAGTCACATCTCTACAATTTTATACTGAACATTCTTTGTGGTAAGAACTACGTATTTTACTTTTTGCTATTCTTCCTTACCTTACCCAGTCCTAGAGGTGTGCTGGTCATACAATAAACAGTTAATCAACATGGTCCATCCTCCAGTGTTCTTAATCCTATTGGTCTAATACTGGATTTATGCCTCCTTATCATATAGTGTATCTATAAACTCCAGATACTTTCTTATCATAGTTGAATAATTTCCCACTCTGGGCCTCAAAGAAATATGCAAAGTAGATATGTTGTTACTACTAGTTTCCACATCCTTTCCAGCTCCAGAATTTTATGATTATTGGATATCTGGCCAGATCAGTGTTCCCAATATCTCAAAAAGTTCTGAATAGACTCATTACCTACAAGCACATATTTTCCTAAGTCAAACAACCCCTCATACTTCAGCATCTCTCTCAAGTCCAACACTACTTTGTGTACCTCTGAGTGGCCAGTCCATGTCCATAGGCTGGGGCCTGCTGGTGCACATAACCACTAGGCCTCTGTTGTAGATGACGCGTAGGATCTATAAGAGTAGAATTGGTAGTAGGGTGGGTGCTTTGATAAGTCTGGCTGGAATAGCTGGGTGGCACCATGGTACCTGCAGGGCCTGTGTGTTGTTGTAATCCCACATGAGAACCATAAGGAGTATAGCCCTAGAGGGAAGGAGAGAGAGGAATTAGAGCCAAGAGTGCTTATATCCTCTAGCCTCATCTGCCCCAATTATAACCTTATGCTCTTACCTGGGAGGTCTGCAAACCATAAGAAGAGCCAGTAGTCATCTGATGAACAGATGACTGTCCCAATATCCCCTGACTCTGCTAGAAGGAAAAATAAGAGAAATTAAAAACTCAGGAGATGCTGTCCCCCCTCCCATTTCTTCCATCTTGCACCCTGCATGTCTTTGTGAAGATTCTGTATTTTCTCAATCTAATGACACTAAAAAGCCCCTCTCCCTGACAGCCCTGATTGCTGCCCCTCTCACTATCTTTGCCTGGAGCTGTTGGCGAAGGCGCTGTCCTTGGGGCACTGAAGGTTGTTGCTGACGGTATAAAGAGGTCTTATAAGAGGATGGATCTAGTCCTATGACACCAGTCATAGTTGTAGGCAGCACTCCAGGGTAATTTGGTCGTGCTGGCAACTTCTGCATTGGTAACCGCACTGGGCGGTATGGGTCTACACGAGGACCACCTAGAAAAGAAAGCAGATGGATTTCTATAAGCTGCTCACCCTTCCATTTCTTACTCTATATCCTATTTATCCATAGCTATTCAAAGAAGCAGCATCACTTCTTGGGTAGGAGGAATTTTCAGGTAACTCCATCATTCCTAGTGACTGGCACTCACCTGCAGGTAATGGCTGGTTTTGGGTATACAGGCTTATGGACCCCTGCCTGTAGCTAAGATGGGATATTGAGCCAGCAGCTGGGTGGTGCAAGAGGTCTGGAGGTACTGCCACACCATATGGACCACTCCGACATGGGCCCATTCCATAGTCCTGTGTAAATGTTAGAGTAGGAAGGTGATTATGTTGTGGCTGAGTTGGGTTAGGGTAAGGCAGGGTAAGACAGGCAAAGAGAAGCTATTTATACAGTTAATTTTTGTCATCATTCTAGCGTCAACTTTCCTCTTCACATCTTAACTACTTCCACAAACCAGAAACTAGAAAAAAAATCATGAAGAAAAAGCAGCTATGGAAAAATCTTGATGGTGAGAGACACTGACCTCTGTTTTGGTGGCTGGTTGACTACGTTTCTTGCCCTTGGTGGACTTTTTCTTGCGTTCCTCAGTGCTAGATGGAGCAGCCCCTGGTTTGTCAGTTTTGGGGGGCTCCGGAGCCTTTTTCTCAGGCTCTAATAGTGTGGGAGCAGGAGGTTCCTCATCTTCTGGTGGCAGAGGCAGTGGTTCTAGGTAATAGGCACGGGGCCGGGGTCTCAGGTGTGTGTGGTAGAGCAGCAATCGCTGCTGCTCTTCTCCTCGAGCAATTCGCCGGTCGACCCGGACTGTTCCAAACCAGCCCCAAGACAGTGGTGCTGAAGGCTTCAAACCCTCAAAAAGATCCCAGGGAGAGATCTTTTGTTTGGTGGAAACCTGTAGACCCTGCTCCAGAAGTAAGAAACAATGAGCTGCTGAGATTCAGAAAACAGAATACTTGAAAACTTGTAGAAGTTAAAATATCTGTTGACAGTGAAAGAAAAAAAAAAGTCATAGGTAGATTCAGGGAAGATGGTGAGAGGAAGAAAAGCACACATGCTGTGCTTCTAAACCAAAGTCTGGCAGTTGTGCTCTACCAAATACTTCCACAGGGAAAAGCCAAGAATCTCCTGTGTGACTTACTGCCTCTGAAAGGGGCTCTGGAGGGTCAGCTTTGGGTCAGTTTCAACTCAAAAGCACACAACAACAAATGTATGTGTGTCTATGTACACACACAAACACACACACTATATTTACATGACAATAATTTACAAAGTATTTTATATCCATTTTACCAACTGGATTCTCACAACAACTCAGCAAGATAAATGAAGCACATATTCATTTCTTACAGAAGTAAGAGGCTAAATAACTAATTATTTCTGTGAGTTCAGTGTTGTTTTCACTACAGTAGTTTTAGTTTGCTTGGCTCCACAGTCAACACTCTTGATACCAACAGCCAGGAAATCAAGAGACGAATTGCATTGGGAAAGTCAGCTGTCAGGGACCTCTCAAGAGTACTGAAGAGCAATGACATCAGGCTGGAGACTAAGGTGCGCCTGATCCAGGCTATAGTCTTTGCAATTACGTGCTATGCATTGGAGAGTTGGACAAGGAATAGGGATGACAGAAAGAGAATTGATGCCTTTGAGCTGTGGTGCTGGAGAAGAGTGTTGAATATACCATGGACTAAGAGAACAGGTTTGTCCTGGAGAGGGCGAAGCCTGAATGCTCCTTGGAGTCAAGGATTCTGAAGCGTCATCTGACATACTTTGGGCATGTTGCAAGGAGGGACTGGTCCTTGGAGAGGGATATCATGTTTGGGAGAGTGGAGGGATGGCGCAGGATAGGAAGACCCTCCATGAGATGGATCGATTCTGTGATTAGAATAGTAGGAATGAGTATGTCGGAGATGGTGAGGTTGGCACATAGAGTCGCTGTGAGCTGCAAGTGACGCGACAGTACATAACAACAACAACAGGTTTCCATAAGGATTACAGTCAAGAAAACTATATTAAATTATTCTGCTCTGTTACATGGGGTCACTTTGAGCTGAAATCAAATTAATGACACTTAACAACAGTAACCATTGGCATGGGGGAAAAATCCCTTTTCTGAGAGGGCAGGTGTTACTCTTGAGCTACACTGTTGTATGAAGTATTTGTATTCCTATAAACATATATCAAAGCTATGCAAAAAAGTTCTTTTCATTAAACTACATTCTGGGCTCAAGAAAAATAACAATAGAGAGATGAACTATCAGTCAGATAGATAGGTGGGGTACAGGCAAGGGTTAGGTCAGACAGGAGGCAGACCGGGCAGAGTAAAAGTTGGGTAGTGTGCTGAAAATGGCATGTTAAAAGGTGAGTGAGAATGAGAGATGGGTTGGGGTAAAGGAAAAGACCAAGGAAAGACAGTGAGACTCCAAAGATAGGGACAGAAAATGTAAGAAAAACTGATTAGTTCAAATCCCCAAGACAGTTTTTACCATCAGAGCGCTATAGACGTCCCACATTGATGAGTCTGTCATAGCTTAGAGGTAAATGCAAGGAAGGCTCTAGTTCAAAGAGAGTAAAAGGCAAGAGGGCTAGAGGTGAGAAAATGATGATACATGCCTCCTTCTTGAAGATAGAATCAAAACCAGCAATCTTGTTGCCCTTGGTGTCAATAAGGGAGCCCTGTGGTTCACATGTGATGACATCTCGTGTCTGCTTGGGCAATGGCAGCAGCTGGTAAACCTTTTCCAGACTGTCTGATTGATGCTCTCCCAACTCCTTCTGCAGGCATAGTAAAATGAGATAATAATTCAAGGATATAAAAAAGAGGGACAGAAATCATGGAATACTACAGAACCTCATGTGAAGATGGCATTCAGCAAATCCTCTGAACAAAAAAGGATGCAATAGGAAAGGGTAGAGGTTTCAGACCAGAATAAAGTCTTAGAGGCTGGTCAACAAATGGAAAGCCAAGGAAAAGGGAATCAAGATTATAGTGTCATAGAAGCCTTGCTCACCCGCAGCTTCTTCACCAGGTTCATGTACGCACGTTTGTTTTCCTCCATGCTGCCCTGAGAGATACTAGACATGTCTGCAGCCAGTGTTCCATTAATGAGCACACTTAACATGTCCAATACAGTAGTGAAGAGCTCACTGCAACACGACATTAGGAAAAAAAATGAAAGATAAAAGATAGAGGTAGGAAAAGGCATTACAGTGGGATACAGGCAGGGAAAAGTGCTTAGAAGTCATCCAAAAGGGATCCAAAATATGTGGGGTACCTAGGACTATGGAGTCTACAGCCATCACACTCATACCAATCTCAGTGGGCCATATACTTGGTGTGAGAGTCAGGGGAATGCTCTGGAGTACAAAAACTGAAGGGAAGGGGTGAGGATGCTTTACTTGTTGGACTGCATGTCGACAGTGCCACTGATGATGATCTCCAGGAGGAGGACAGCCCACTCTGTGGTCTGCTGGGTGCTGCGCTGCACTGTGTCAAACATGCCCCCCACCTGCAAGGACCACATCAAGTCAGTCAGATGGCTCAGGGCAAAGTCAATCAATGAAACAAAGATTAGAACCTGAGTTGAGGAGAGGTTAGGGTACCTGAAGTCATGTTCTGGTTGTATCTAGGATTTTCTTATGATCTTAGGCCAATGACTTAATTCTTAACATCTTTAGGCCTGTTTCCTCTTATAAAACTATTAGAGTTGGACTAAATGATTTTTAGGTTTCCATTCAAGATTCTAATATGTTTGGATTATTAAGTCTTAGCCAGAATTAGAATACTGAGGTAGAATTCCTTAATGATCAAGGGTACACAACCTACAAAACCTTGACAACAGTGATTGAGCTCCTTTAACTATTTTCAGGCCCTTTATCCTTCAGGAGAGCTGAGATTTTATGGAAACTCATAAAAACGATCTATAGTGTTCATTCTCATTCCTTCATGCTGGAACTTTTTTACTCTATTTCTAGTCCTGCATCCTACCTTTCTTCTCCCAAGCAACCCTGCTTACCAGGTTGAGTCGCAGTTTGAGTGCCTCATGCATTAACTGCTTTGGTTTGCAGTCATCTAAGTACTGGTCATCTCGCCAATTATTCACAATCTAGAACAGAAACACGTATAAAACCATTTAAAAAAAGAAGCCCAAAGAACTTAAAAAAATTTTTTTGTTGTTCAGGGATCTTTTTGTTTCCAAAGCAACCAACACGTTCATCAGAAAGTACTGAAGGTCCAGAATACATAGTGACCTCTTTGTTACATCCTTCTCTGCCCTTCTGCCTGCCTCCATGGCCCAGAGAACTGTACCTGGTGCACTTGGCTGTAGAGGGAGGTAAGGAGTCCTTCACGTTGCTCATCCTGTCCTTTCAGACAAGTCAGTACCAGAGATAAGAAGGGCTGCTGGCTCAGTAGGGACATGCTATAGAAGGGAGGAAAAGCAAAGTAAAGGGGGACAAGAGTTGGGGTGCAATCACACAGACACTTTCCAACTTCCAACCCCCTTTCACCAAGTTCCAGACTCTACATCTAGCCTTTTGATCAGCCATGACCTTCTTTCGCCTGGTTTTCCTTTATTATTTTTTTAAAATTATTTTTATCTTCATCCTTTAGCTCCAACTTTTATCCTTCTCTGACTTTTCCTCTTTCTCTTTACCTCTTTTGCTTTTGTCGATCTCGTTCTTTGCGGGAAGAAGAACCCAGGTGTTGACCTTTTTCCAATTCCTCACCAGCAGCCTTCAACACATGTCCCTGAACAGAGGTTGGCAATTTAGCAATGAGGGGGGCCACCAGCCACACACCAGAGCGTTCTAGAGAACTAGAGGACAAATGAAATATACAAGGTTAGAGAAGAGCCAGATGAGGTTGAAAAAATTCATTCTCCTTTCTCAGATGGACATGCCCAGAATGTCCACATGGCTGAAATCATTCATGCTACTAGGTGAGACACTCATAAGGGTATGTATGGGTCCTAATACATTTATATCCAACCTCAGCACAGGCTTGGTCTTGCTACTGCTGGACATGTTGCCTGCAGTGCTTCCTGAAGATGATCCTGTCTCTGCTGACTGTTGGAAAACCTCAATTGTAGCCTTGGCAATATTCTCTAAAAGGGAGTTCATCTCCTGGGAAGGAAGAAAGGAACAGGGCACTAAACATATAGCTGAAGGTAAAGGAAAAAAATGGTAGGAGAGAGAGAAACTGAAAGTAAAAGAGGACATTTATAAAGGTTTATGGTAGGATAGAGACACAACTCTGTTGGGAGCTATGTCCTGTAGCACCTTGTATTTCTCCATTTCCTCATCATTTTCTGCTTTACAAACCTCCTTATAGTCTTAGTTACAGAAACAGCCTCCACTACTACCACCACCACCCCACCACATTTCCCCATAGCTCAGAGCTTCAAGACTACCAACCTATTTATCTTATCACTGACTCCTCACATTTGCCATTTTTCTGTCCCCTCTCTGTTTAGTCCAAGATTCCAAGAGTAGGACCTAGGTTCTTCTATGATAGCCAACCTTTTTAACACATGGAGCTGAAAGTGGGCACAGGGTAGGGAGGGCCCAAGCACTACTCACATTGTTAGGAGTCTGCTTGATCATAAGTTGCAGTTCCAAGGAAGACTGGCGCATGGTCCACTGGTCCAGGTTCTGTGACAGAGGCCCCACTCACAGCTAGTCATGAATATGTCAGCCACAGCCACCCATCATTCAGAGGTCAATTCAGGATCTCTCTCACAATTTTGAATCATAGATTCTTAGAGGTCTACAAGGGACCTCTATGTCCCCAGTTTTAGAGAAGACTACCCTTACATTATTCAAAATAGATCTAAAATTTCATTATTTTCAGTTTCCTTTTCTGGAGCCTCTGAACCCTTAGCATCAGGAAGTACTATTTAATGTTTATTTTAATCTATATCCTTATTCAATTTAAAGCCTACTTCTTGTTTTAAGGAGCCTATATAGTGTAGTACATTCTGTGTTGAGCTCCTAACCAAAAAGTTAGTGGTTTGAATCTCCCAAATGCTCTGCAGGAAAAAGATGAGGCAGTCTCCTATAAAGAGTTACAGCCTTGCAGACCCAATGGAGGGTCATGAATGGGAATGAACTCAACAGCAATGGATTTGGTTTGGTACCTTGTTTTAGACCAGCTGCTCATAATCTCTCAATGTTCTTTTCACACTCGAAGACTACTGTTAGTTGTGAGCTGAAGAAATCCCTTTCCTTTAGCTTTCCCTCTATGGTTTTATTTTTATACCCTTCAATCACCCAAGTCTCTGAAGCAACATAGTAAAGCAGACCAGGATTCACACACCGACTATAAACTTACTAGCTGTACAACCTTAGGCAAGCCATTTAACCTCTTTAAGGATCAATTTCTTTACTAGTCAAATAGTGATACTCATGTCTACCACATAGGATTGTAAAGATTAAATAAAATACATGCAAAGTTCCTAGCATAGTACTTAACACAAAGTCAAAGTTCAATAAATAATAGTTATTACTATTTAGTTACTGAGTCATGAGCAAAATGCCAAATATACAAGGCCAAAAACTAAGTCTCCCAGACCCTATGCCTCTCTCTAATAACTAACTTTTAGTCTGTATAGCTGTACCTTTCTCAAAGTATTTTACTCTGGAGTCTAGATCACACTGAGTTTGCTTCTAAACGCTTGGTGGAACCACTACTCTCTTTATAATTTCCCCACATCCCTGTTCATCTTCATCTATATTTAATTTTCCCTCTTTTGTTTTCTCTCAAGATTCTCACTATTGCTCCTCAGGTTTGGTCTCCATTGTTCCCTCCAAGTTCTTCATCACCCCTGGCATACCTGGAGAATACGCTTAATGCGTTGACGCTGGGGGTTTTCCCCATCCTCACTGTCCAGCAGTCGATGCGGGTAGCAAATAAGCTGCATAAGGCGCTGGGCCTGTGCACTACTCAACACTGGATCCTGTAGGTCATTGCTGTCCTCACACAACGACTTAAGGCAACGTTCTCCTACCCATTCCTGAGGAAACTGATAATCAGGGGACTGGGAGCAATCAATAAGGGAGTTAGGAATAAGGGAGATGGATCAGGGGTTGGGATAAGACATGACTACAGGCTGGAAACCACAACATATGATATAGACACATTAGGAGTTGTTAGGGGGAAGGTGAGACTGACCTGTTGGCAGATGCTGCGCAGCACATACTTAGCATAGACATCCAGGCTGGCTGTCTCCACAGAAATATTGCGGCTACCCTGCCTCCGACTGCCGCTGCCACTCCCTCCCTCCTCCTCTGGAAGTTCTTCTGTTCCTCCTGTCACAGTGAAGCCTGAACCCTTCAGTTCTGCATCCCCTATATTCCAGAGGTGGGAAGACAAAAGAGATCAGAACACAGTGTAGAGAACCATTCTAACCTATAGGGACAGAAACTCCTCAAATCCTGTCCTATAAAATAAAAATATACTTTCCTTCTCCCCCTACTCCCCAAAGGTCAGAGAATCTATGTTCAAGAAAGACTATTCTTTGTTCTTTAGCTGCCACTCCACCCTATACACACATTTAACACCACTTCATTCCTACCCCGTACCAAGTACAAATACAGCCTTGAGAACAGCAAACACAGCTCCATCCACGATGCGGTTCTGAGAGGCAGCCAGCAGGTGGCGATCACAAGAAGAGCGAATCCCTACAGTAGGCTTATCTGGGGAGGGAGCTGAAGTCAAAGAAAGCAAAAGCAAAAGTGGAAATGGTAGAGGTGGGGTAGTTACACTTTCTAATACTGGCTAAACCAGATTAGAGTCACTTACTTCCATCAGACTGGCAAGGATTGAGCTGTGGCGTCTTGAAGAGGTGGAGGAGGATTCGGCAGGTCAGACGGGCTCCTGGCTCGGAATCCTGTTCACTACAAGCTAAAAGAAAGACCAGCAGATCTGAAAAGAATGAAGCAGAACTAGAGAAGAAACAAACAAACCAAGGGGAAAAAAGCAGAAACATCAGAGCTACAAATCATGGGTTAGAAAACATGCAGGTAGGCCCCTTTCAACCTGAGGAACACTAAAGACTGGCCTTGTGAGGAAACTACAGTGGAGATCCCTAAACTGAACCGTAAGATAAAAGGTGTGTGTATTGAAATTTTAAGGTCAGCTATTCTATGTTGTTTACCAGCATTAAGGAGTGAAGGAATAGCAGCACAGCGAATCAAATCTTCTAGGAGTAAACACTGTCGAGCAATGAGGATGGCAACAAAAGTAGCCAGGGAGTCATGAAAAGACAAATCACTGACCTGGAAATAAAAAGAAGAAAGGCATGATGGCTCAATATGAATAAGGAGTACTCATTCAAAGCTGTAGGTCTTCACTGTAGGCCTTAGTCTACAAAACCCTTTTCCCTATTATCTTGACTGCTATGACCAGACTCCTGCCCCAGCAACTGCCCCATCCCCAGCAAAGACTCCACACCAAGTCTCACATCTACATTGCAGAGAAGATCATTGAAACCACAAGTGCCATTGTTAGATGAGCAGCACAAGGCCTTAAGCACTCCCAACCATTCTGCACTCAGTGACTTGCAATAGCCGGTCAGCTCTGCACACAGGATTGCGATGTCATTCACCCTAGGAAAAGTAAAAGCAACCACAGGGCAAACTGTAATCCACGGCAATGTGACGTGGGAGTGTAGTGCCCATTTCTCACTCAGGACATCCCATACCTATCAGGATCATGGTGTCCCACGCAAACGTGCATAAGGGCATTGCAAACAAAGCTGTAGCGGTTCGCTGGGTTCTCACTAAGACTCTTGCCTAGACCTGTGTAGGTGAAGGTATGGGCTGCCGGGTTCTCCAGAGTGTCAATCATGAACTCAGGCGCCCACCGCATATTAGATTCTGATGGCTCCACGTTGCAGTAGATGGTATTTTTCACCTTTGAGCAAAAGTCACTGTATGGTTGGGGAAAAAGAATTAGCATTATTGAAGTCCTAGTGAGGTAGACGTAATAACAAATTCAACTCATTGCCACTGAATCAGAACTGACTCATAGCTGACCCTCCAGCTGGTTTTCAGAGGCAGTAAATTTAGGGAGGAGATTGCCCATCTTTCTCCCGAAGGAGGTGATAAGGAAAAGGTGAAAAGGGAAAAAATTGAGAATCACAGGACTGTGGAAGAAGATAAAGAGAGTCAGGACAAGGCAAACTAGGTAGAAAAGGAACCAAGTGAGACTAAAGAAAAGGAAGGAGGTATGTGGGCCCCACAGAGATGGACTGGAGGCAAGGCGAATAAGGAAGAAGGTTCATCCTTAGTAAAGCAGTAATACACGGAGGACACAGACCAAAAAAGACCCTGGAAAGCAGGGATCCTGAGCTGTGTTCTGCTCCTGAGCTGGGTGGCAATGGAAAAGAGATGGGACTAGTTCCCACTCTTAACCCCTTACCTCTCACCTCCTCTCTTACCTGAAAAGCTCCCCAAATTTGCTCTTTAAGTGGCTACAAGAGGTGTACAAATCATAGAGATAAGCAAGGATACAGCGTTCTGCAGAGGAGCCATCTGACCGGTTCATCCCATGCTTCACTACACCACACAACCTGGCATGAAGTTGAAAGATTAGAAGGATCAGTAGATGTGCAGGAGACTGGAACATAAAAGTCCCTTGAAACAGCCTCTTGATAATACTATTCTTTTCTCACTTCAGTAGCATATACTTCCCACAAGGAGAGTCCCAAATGCTCTTCCCATGCCACTTCTACCAGCATTCACCAGAGCCCTAAATGTTTAAATTATTTTGAAGGCTTGCTTACCCTTCAAACACCTGTGCCATCTGGTCTTGGTTAAGGATGAGGCAGGAATGATAGTGCCGCAAAACCGCCACAATGCACAGACACAGGCTGGTCGTGTAGCTGCCCACAAGATCCGAGGATTTAAGCAGCAGCTCAGCCTCAACTACACTCAGTTCATTCAGCAGCTAACAGAGTGGGGGTGATGTGATGTAAGAAGAAACTCCTCATGTTATAATCTCTTTTCCTAAGAGGAAACTAGCAAGGACATGCCTAACCCCTTTCCTGCTGGATCCACTTCTGTATAAAAAGGGCCCTTATTGCCACATACCCCTATGTTTTATTCTACTTATGATGCAGATTATATTACTCCAGAACACAATTCTGTTAAAACCACAGTAAGAGAATGGTCTGTGACAAATACTTTCATTTCTGTCTCTTAGACTTCCCCAAGAGGCACTTAAGTCTCCATTTTCAGTTTTACATCATGTTCCACTTGCCCTATGCTAATCTTTCTGTCCTCCAAATGGCCTTGGAAGTTCTTGGGCCTCTCTAGATAATCTATGACCCTTTATAGCATGGACTTTGTTCTCCACTCTTATCTCTTCAACTTCCCCACCTGAATGGCAAAGTCGATGAGGCCACTGATGCTGAGTGAATATTCCATGAGATCGAAGATGAACTGCACATGCTGCACCAGAGGTAAGTGGTATGACATACCAAGGGCAAAGCTTGTGATCTGCTCCAGAACATTTCGGGAGACCTAATAAGGGCAGTGGGAGTGAGAGAGAAGTGAAGAGAGGTAGGGAGACTCAGGGAAGCACTCACGAAAGGATAATGGTGAAAGGGGAAGAGACCTGGAGGCTTAGACTGCCTTGGGGGGTAAGATAAAAGTAGAAGGAAAACAAGAAAGGCGGCTAAAATGTGAAGGGGGTGGGCAGCTGACTTAGGCTCACACCTGAGCCGTGATCTGGTGTTGGTCATAATGTGAAAGGTGCTGGAACTTAACAAAGATATCTTCAGCAGTGGGGAAGGCTTCAGGCCGGTTTCGTCTCCGCTTCTGCCCATCCTCCCCACCTGAGGGTATAGTTGAAAGGAAATAGTCAGGCCAGGGAAGATATTAGCTGACAGGGGATGGGGAAGGTGGTGTGGAGAGAAGGATATAGAAGGGAGGGAAAGGGGAAGGAAAGAAGGGAGGTAAGGAGGGTCAAGGAAGGGATGGGGGAGGGATGAATGGGACAGTGAAGCAAAGGTTTTGAGGACCACAGACTACTGTGAACCTTAAAGGAATGCGCACAGGAAGGTACTAGGTTGAGGGAGGGCAGAGGGAGAGAGGGTAGTATGGGGCTTACTGTGAGGTACCTAAGAATGTCAGGTCTCCAGGATTCAGAGGCACAATAGGAGCAAGCTGGTCTGCAGAGGAGGGGAATGAGGGGGGAAGTTTCAAAAGGACTAGAGCTCTCAGGAGACTCTAAGAGATAGGACATTGGGACATGATTGGGGAATTCCCTATGCTGGGTAAGGGAAGGCTGACTAGGGTAACTCTTTGGGGGAATTCTGTTTAAGAAGCCTCAAACTCACCAGTTTCTGCAGTCCCTTTGCGGTTCAGAACCTTCAGGATATCTTTGGTAATTTTCTTAATGGCGTGGCGAGCATCATCTCGTTGCTTTCCCACCCCAAACAGTACGACCAACCGCTGATTGCACTCATGGCTGCACGACTCCTCCTGCATCCCAGTAGTAACATCAGATTCCAGCATGATCTGTTTTGCTCTGCTTTTGCATGCTTCATATCCCTCAGCATCCCAATGTTTAATCCCTTCCCCAACATACCTACACCCTCAAGAATACCTCCAACCTTTAAGGATATCCCTTAGACAAAAATCTGGATTCAAAACAGATTGTCACTTAGTACCTGGGGGATGGGAAAGTGTGTGGCATACTGCACATGTCGTGGCTGGTCATAAAGAACTCCCAAGGTTCCTTCTATCTTCTCTTTGTGTAGAGGTTTTACTTCCTTTTCAACATCTTGTTTCTCAGGTGATGGGCTGCCCTTCCCCTCACAGGGCATAGTAGGGGAGAATAACTAAGAGAAAAATGAAAGGGTGAATATTTAGAAGAAAAGGGGACGAGGTGGAACAGAGAAATTCCAAAAAGAGGCATAAAAAGTTGGATTATTCTACACTCAGGATCTAACTTACTGAGAAATCAGGCTTTTCCATGTCCTCAAAGAGTACACTGGAACTAGGATCAATGTCCATAGATTCTGAGAGACCTGGGTCCTGAGAGCAAAGGGAAGTTGCTTTAGCCCCAGGGAACTGCTCCCCACCATCTAGAAAAGTTGACATAAGAAATGGAGAGCACAGAACATACTGGGGGAAAATAGAAAATCTGTTTTAATGCTTTGACCATTCATTTAACCTCAATTCACTAACCTCAATCTCACCTTAATCTTCCCTTATGCTTTAAAATGAGGATGAATACCTCATAAGGTTGTTGTGAAGATCAAATGAAAAAGATCATGTGAATGAAAGTGTTTTGAAACTATAAAATGCTAAGCAAATACTTCTATTTTTATTAGATGAAAAGAGAACTGCAGAGGTCTTTAGGTGCCAAGAAATGAGAATTGTAAAAAACAAAACAAAATAAACCACACAATCATCCAGGGTAAGGAAAAAGCCCACTCACCTCAAGCTTGCTACTGCTGCTGCCTTCAGCCTCCTTGCGCTCTGGATCATCAGTAGGGTCATCAAAGGGAGATGGAGGCCGGGGACCAGGGCCTCCAAATGCAAGGTCCCCTCGGGAGATGAGGGTACAAGTATACATGTTGTGGGAAAAAACATCATGTCGAATCAGTTCACAGAACAGTAGTACCAAGTTAAAGAATTCAACTCGTTCACTCTCACTTCGGGGGTCCGCTGGAGGAAAGGAGGGAGAGATGGAAGATGAGTTAGATGGAAGATGAGTTAGGAAAGCCTAAAATAAAGACACACACATAAGCCATGGCAATCCTGGAGTAGCTGAGGTAGTTACAAGTTGAGGCACAAAGTGTGGTTTATCCTACCTGGTGTCACATATACTATCTCAAAAGAAGCATAATCTTTGTTGTCATTTACACAATGAAAAAGCATTAATTACAAGTTCCTAGTTTTATTCATCTCTTTATTTCCCTACCATGCTAAACTACAGAATGACCAGGGATTAGAATTATGTCTAAAGTTACTTACTCAAGACAGAAATGAAGAAAGAAATATATACCAAAATCTCAAACCAAACTCACTGCCATAGAGTCAATTCCAGTTCATAATGACCCTGTTAAGATAGCATGAAACTGCCTCATAAGGTTTCCAAGGCTGTAAATCTTTAAAGGATATTAATCAATAGATAATAGATACTTATTAAAATGGGTGAAAGGAAAGACAATATACAATATGGGGATGACCAGACACGGTGGGTATTGTAATTTATGTTATAAAAAGTGCATAAATGATTGAATAAAAAGTCAATATGCTACATAAATGGTCACTCAAATCACACTGAAATGAAAAAACAAGGCAAAACAAAAAATCTTTACAAAAGCAGACTGCCTCACCATTAGTGGGTTCAAACTGCAGACCTTTTGGGTCAAATACTGACTTTAAGAACCAGGGCTCCTCGATATCGAGGAGCCCTGGTTCTTGATACACACATCAACACATAGCTTGCTCTGTGCCACAATTAAGACTCTTTAACATCAGCAGGAAAAAGATGAACTGCACTGGGAAAATCTGTTAGGGACCTTTCCAGAGTACTGAAAAGCAACGATGTCAGTCTAGAGACTAAGGTGTGCCTAATCCAGGCCATGGTCTTTACAATTAGTTGCTATACATCAGGAACTGGACAATGACTAAGGATAACAGAAGAATCGATGCCTTTGAGTTGTGGTGATGGAGAAGAGGCTTGAACATACTATGGACTGCCAAGAAAACAAATAGATCTGTCTTTTTTTTATTTTTTTTTAAGTTTTTTTTTTCAAATACATCTGTCTTGGAGAGGGTAAAACCAAGTTTGTCCTTGGAGACTAGGATTTTGAAGCTCTGTCTCGTGACCAGGAGGGACAAATTCTTGGAGAAGGACATCATGTTTGAAAGGGTGTAGGACAGAGCAGGAGAGAAAGACCCCAGATGAAATGGATTGATAAAGTAACTGGGGCAATGAGGGTTGGTGTGTCAAAATCAGTGAGATTGGCTCAGGGCAGGGCAGGGTTCAGAGCTACTGTACACAGGGTCACTAAGGGTCGCAGGCAACTCGATGGCACATAAAACAACAACAAACTCAAACTTACTGCCATAGAGTCAATTCCTTATCATAGCAAGCCTCCGTTGAGTTTCTGAGGCTGTAAATCTTAACAGGAGACTCCTCATTTTTTTCCCCCAAAGAGCCTTTTTGTTAGTAGCACAACAAACTATGAACTAAGTCCCCAGGGCTCCTAGAAATATATACTACCAGGCCCTTAATTATGCTTTAAGATTATAGTGATGGGTAACTGAGTTTAGGCAAAGGTAAGAAGAAAGTAACAGAGGTCCATACTTAGCATGGGAGCTTGGGTATCCAGAAACTGCAAGAGGACATCCTGGAAGACAGGAGCACTAGGAGCAGATAGGGAGCCAGAGGCAATCGAACCCTTCTCATCTGCAGTTTCTGTTTCTCCACAGCGCTAGAAAAAGAACAGATCATAGAATTTGCCTGTTTCTCCACTCCTTAATACATCAACCTTGAACCACTCCATTTTGCCTCCAGCTCAAGATTTTTACTTACATTGCACCTTTGACCTCCACTTTTTCCACCATCTCCCAGTCCATGCTTTGATCTCTTCTCTCTGACTGGCAATATACTACTCTCTATTTTCACCTTATTTCTTTAACCTTCCCTTTAGTTTCTCTACTATTTTATTTACAAAATTTCAACTACTATCATAATAATGCGTCAAGCTCTATCTCTGATCCCTGGTGAATTCCTTCTTCCCATTGGCCAATTTCATCCTGTTATTCCTGCTCGCCTAACCTCAGCCTCAATTTCTGCTTGTCTCTTCTCCAGGAGCTTGGCTACCACCATAGCACGATGCCGGCCAGAACGCTTGCAGCTGACGGCCCATTCACACAGTAAAGATACCACAGCATCATCATCTGAGGATATCTAGGCCAAAGGAAGATAAGGACGAGTGAGATAAGGCTGGGGATAAAGAACTGAGTTTGAATTTCTGTGATATCCCATTTTAAAACATCGTGGGGTGATCAATGCCATTGAATTATAAATGCAGAAGTTGTACTGATAAATGTTCTATTGTGTATATTTTCAACAGTGATGAAATCGCTGAAAATCATACACATAACATACTGCTGGCCTAGTAAGATCATTTCTTTAGAGATCCCCTGGTTTCAACACTTCATCATGCCTTACCCTGATATCTCAATTTCCCTTCTTGCTTACCTCATGCCCATCCTTACTAGGCCCCAATCCAAAAATTCGGTTACAAAGAGAGTCAAGTGAATTGCTGAAATCAGAGCGCTCAAAACTATGGCTGTCCAACACTTCCAAAGTATGGAGTACCCGTCCAATGGTAAAGCCTAAAGAGGAAAACTTGTAAGAGATTTATTAGAAGCTCAGGGAACTTCTACTTTCCCATCTGTAGGTCATTAGTACCCTCATCCTTTCCTTAACAGCCTTCCTATTATCTGTGCACAAGAACCCACCTGCAGTGGCTTCCTGGCACTTATCAAAAGACCATCGAACCTCAACTGCCTGTCCTCGTTCCTTGATCTGTTGCTCAATCTCCCGCAACTTTGCACGGACCTACAATATTAAAAAAAGGCCTTAAGGAACTGTTAAAGCACACACAATGTCAGAACCCCAGGCTAAAAGAAAAGTCCCAGACTCCTAATCACTATTTCTGAGAGAGTAATTTAACTTCCTATCTTTTCTAAAAAAATTTTTTATTATGAATTTTAATGAAAATTTACAGAGACTTTGGATTTCCATTCACTCATTGTTGCACTTTTCTCCCGGCCCACCCCACCCCCCAGTACACACTTCTCTTTGAAAAGTAAAAGTCCCCCCATTGTTTTACAATCCCTCCCCCCAGGTCTACTCCACTATGCAGCCTTCGTTCTGGACTCCTATCATGACAATAATACCTAATCACATATCCCTTTTAAACAGTTTTCTCCCTCATCTGTTTCAATGCAGTATATATTCTTTATCCCATCTTTCTCATTTTCCCCTCAATCCTGATGTCAGTCCTGTTTTACAACAGTGGCACTATGCAGTATTTATCCCCCTGTGACTGAGATATTTCACTCAGCATAATGTCCTCCAAGGTCACCCATTTTGAATAATATTGCATGAGTTCCTTGTTTTTCAATGCAGCATAGTATTCCATTGTGTGAATATACTACACCTTCTCTATCCATTCGTTTGTTGATGGGCACCTGGGTTGTTTCCAACTCTTTGCTATTGCGAACAAAGCTGCGATAAACATGGGTGTGCATATATCTGCTTGGTGGCAGTATATTCCCAGTAGTGGAATTGCTGGGTCAAATGGTATCTCTATTTGCAACTTTTTGAGAAAGCGCCACACCGCTTTCCACAGTGGTTGCACCATTTTACACTTCCACCAACAGTGAATAAGGGTTCCAGTTTCATAAACTGTGTACACTGCACTGAAACAGATGAGGGAGTGAATAATTTTAAAGCGATGTATGAATTATGGTTATCACAAGAGTCCACAATTAAGGCTGCATACTGGAACGTACTTGGGGCAGTGGGAGGGGTGCAGGGGGATTGTGTACCAGGGAAGGAGTGTTTCTTTTACTTTTGAAAGAAAGGAGCGAACTGGGGGCGGGGAGGGCTGGGGGGGAGAGAAGTGCAGCAATGTATGAATGGAAATCTAAAATCTCTGTAAATGCTCATTAAAATTATTTTTAAAAAATAATTAAAAAAAGGGTTCCAGTTTTTCCATAAGCTTGCCAGCATTTGTTGCTTGCTGTTCTGTTAAATTTTGCTATTCTTAGTGGGGTGAGATGATATCTCATAGTTGTTTTGATTTGCAGCTCTCTTAGAGCTAGGGATTTTGAACATTTCTTCATGTGCTTGTTGGCCATCTGAATGTCTTCTTTGAAGTGTCTGTTGATATCCTGTGCCCATTTTTCAATTGAATTGTTTACCTTTATCTTGTTGCGGTGCTCAAGTATTTTATAAATTCTAGATATAAGTCCCTTATCTGCCATGCCATTACCAAATACTTTTTCCTAGTCTGTGGCTTCCCTTTTTACTGTGTTGGAGAAGTTTTTGGATGTGCATAGTTAAATACATATCTTAATCTAGGAGTAGAGGGCTATTTGTCAGACTTACCTGCTGAGTGAAAGCACTGTTGCCCTCAGGCATAGGCAAGTTGGAGGGGGCAATAGGCAGATGGTCAAGGGGTGAGCCAGTCTTAATTCGACTATCAGTCAATGAGTAGTGCCAAACCAGGGCACTAGGACAACATAAGAGAATTGTCTGCCAAACAGAAACAGATAAATCACCATCAGTTACCATAGTCATCTCTCTACAATCTCAGTTTAAAAAAACTCAATCCTTCAATTTTGAATCCAATGTTTTTTTGAGTTTCTAAGTTTTTCTGAGGGAAAGGTACATTTCACCCCAAACCTCTTCCTTTACCCACTTACCTGAAAGGCTTTGGATCTACTATGTAGCTCTGGAAGAATGAAGTTTCTCAAAACCACATAAAGGGAGCAAATATGCCATTAATGAAAAGCAACCATCTCTAGGCCCACCAGTGCCTTCTCCCACTTCCAATTTAGAATCATCCTCATTCTCTACGATGGATACCCAATACTCTATTTCAGAATGCTTCTTTTAATAGTTCCTTAGACTCACCAGTACCTACCTGTAGGATACAACTGAGGCCAAAAACAAGGGGCCGGTGCTGAGGGCACATAAGCAGATCACTAAAGGGTGTAGAGGGTGTGCTAGTAGCTGGGGGCTGAGGAGTAGGGGTGGTAGGCAGTGTGCCCGTTGACTGAGCAGACATAACATGAGAAGAGTGACTGCTCATGCCATCCAGTTGCAGGGCTAGTCTCCGGGTACAAAAGTAGGCAAGGCGGCGGGAGAGGTATGCAGACTGAACAAACTCCCCGGAGTACTGTGAAGACATAAAGATCAGAACCTCTAGTTCTCTCCAAGGGACACTAATATGTATCTTTCAAATTCCCCTGATAGCACCCTGATAAGTCCTACCCGAAGCAGTAGGGGCAGCAACAGTTTAAGAAGTTCATCCTCTCCAGGGCGGATTTTTTCAAAACACTCAAGCACCCAGGTCAGGAACTCATGCCTGTCCAACATTCCATCCTAAGGGGACAAGGGGTGGGAAGACTATTAGTTCAGCTTAGAGACTATTGAAGATGAATCAAGTGAAGTAAATAAAAGGATGAAAGGAACCACAACAGTAGCAAGGTGACAGGCTAATTCTGTTCTATATTGGCAAAAAATAACTTGACTCACTGTCTCATGTACTACATGCTCTATTTCCTACCTGAAACATGAACATGGCCAGCTTCTCATTGTAATCCCACTGCCGGATTGCAACCTCTACATCATGAGGCAAAGGCCCAATTGTGGAAGTACAGTTGCCACTTCCTGTAGGTCCTGGCCGATAGTATTCAGCCATCTTCTGTAGCTGCTCCCATAGGTATTTGGTAATGATCTGGGTCCATTCTAGGGGAAAGATGGTAGAAAGCCTATTTTATGCTATCCCTCTGCTAGAATTTCTTCTGTCTCCTACCCTTACCCCCATTCATAATATTCTAAATCCTATTCATCCTCTAGCTACAATCAAGTACCACTTTCCTAAAGTCCTTTCTAGTTGCCCACTAAAGAAAGTTAAGGGTTTTTGTCAACTGAATTATCAAAGAACATTCTGTTTCCTCTTTTGATATTTGCTATGTCCTATATTTATTGAAAGGAGCTTTGGTGGCCTAGTGGTAAGAAACTACACTGCAATCCGAAGGCATGCAGTTCAAATCTACCCAGCTGCTCTCCTGGAGAAAGATGGGCAATCTCTGAAAAATCTTGTGAAAACCTGCTGGAGAGTCAGCTGTGGGTCGGTTCCAACTTGATGGCACATAACAACATATTTAATGATGTTAATTGTACAAAGCTTAGTATCCCTATGATACCAAAAACGTCCTAAAGGTAGGGATTATGTACTATTTATATTATAGCCCAGTACATACAAATAATGGACACTCAAGATAATTGATAGTCACCAATTTAATGCAAGATACAAGCAGAAGGAAAGAATGGTCCAAGGATCTATCCCTCCTAGAAAAGATCAGCAGTACAGCTGGTGTTAGGAGTTACTTACCCATGAAGGGATCAATGACAGGTCTCTTCTTAACCTTGGTCTCAGTGATTGCTGCATAGTAGGCACAGGTCATTTTAATGAGCCAGGCAGCTCGCATCACAGGCACTGTGTATTTGGCTAAGTACCCAAACACTTCTTCCTTCTTACTGAAAATAGGGACCTGGATGGACATTATAAGTAGTGAGACTTCCATAACTCTATGCTGGTGTCTATGTAGCTTAATGTGTGAATAGGAGAGTACGTGTACTTGATATCCATACTTCCCCCTTGGCCTGAAGAACAGGAAATAGTACCTCACCTTTTTGGCTAGCTGTGTGAGTGGCTTGGTGCCAGCCAGGTCAGTGAACCAGGTATTAATGGCACTCTGGGATCGCGGGGTCACCAGCCAGAAGTTGTCCTTCTGGTTCACTTGGGGCTTTCTGCGCCCAGTGTCAGGAAGGGTGTTACAACGTAACTTCTCTGCAATAATGCTGCTGAAGTTGGAACTGATCTGAGGGAAGAAAATTAAACTTCAGGATTGGAAGAAGGGGCCATTTGTGGGCATATGCCAACATGGTGGCATTAAGTTGTGATGGAAAACCCACTCATTTAGGTTGTCCCTTAAAATCTTCCCAGCATAGCCTTTGCTCCTTAGATTGTTCCAGCCTTTTCCTTCAACCTGGGAGGGTTGCCTCACCTTGGCAGGATTGAAGTTGACATTCTTGGCACTGCCGTGTTCATCCCCAGAGACAGCAGGCTGGTTATTGAAACCTTGTTTTACATTCAAAGCTGTCAGTTCATCCTGAGGCAAGAAAATGACATTTTATCTGTTTCCCAGCCCCTCCCTTTCCCCAGGTGAGCTACAAAAAAAGGAAAGGAGGATTCAGAGTAGAAGAAATTGTTCTTTAGGGCTGGGCCCTTAAATTCATTTAGGATCACTCTTCATCACTCTTTCCTAGCAAACAGCCTTAGCTCCTTGAGCTGTCTCAGTAACTTTCTGAGATGGGGGAAGGGTGGAGGGAGCGGGGAAGCACCTCTGGCATGGACCCTACATCATTCCATATTCACAACCAGAAGTCCTCAGACTCAGGCTCTATTCTCCCATTCCGGCTCACTTTACTCTTCTCTTTTTAGGGACTTTCGTTCTCACCTATTACCCTGCCCCCTCTTCCCCAGTCCATCAATGCCTCCTCCTACGATCTCTTGCCCCTAGTAGCTTAAGAGCCCCGATTAATGAACGTACCTCCTTCTGTTTGGGATCTTGAGGGTAGACATCAGGAGGCCCCAGCCGCGGCCGCTTTAGGGGCCGGTGTTCGTAGCTCAAGATCCCAAAGGCCGCCATCTTGCCCAGCCGATAGCACCAGAGGCTCCTGCAGGGACTTACAGAGGGGGGTGGGAAAAGGGAAACGAAAAGGGGGGCAGCGATTGGGAGGATGCAGGCAACAGACAAGGGTGCACGTTACAAACTCTGGATCATTACCGGAAATTACCGAGTGAAGCCGAGGAACGCCGGGAACCATCGGACAATACCTAATGCAGGACGGGGGCGGGACCCGGCGTGGGGCGGAGCTCCATGCCCAGAAAGCTTTTGCTGCCCTGCCTCGGAAGGTTGGTTTCGCTCTCTCCTCCAGCTAAATGATGTGCTGAGGATGCCAATTTTTTACAAAGGGGAAGGCAGACTTGTTCCTGCGCTGTCACTGAAATGGACTTCCCAGTGCTTCTTCAGTTTTGGGGCCTAGAAAAGTGCTCAATAATTATCTACAGTGTTTCCAAATTCTGCCTTCTACAAAGTACTTCATTTCTTAGTCTGTGCATGTGAAAACTAGGTGTACTATTATCTCCTTAAAGACAGTTTAAAGATTTAAAGCTACATGTACATAAGAAAATCCCTATTAAACCCTGAAAGACTTAATCTAACCTCTGGAACCTTTCATATGGCCTAGTGTTGAGATGCTTAATCTTTTTTAATTTTTATTCACAAACCCTTCAAAATGTTGAAAGTTAATGAATTGAGAAATTATAGTACATTCACACGATGGAGCAATGCTTTTGTAAATCACTACCTAATTTGGGAGGGACTGGAAAGCATTATGCTAAGTAAACTAACTCAGTCTCATAAGGACAAATACTAAATAAGATCATTATTGTAGAAATAGTTAACTAGTAAAACGTGTATGAAGATAATAAGGGGGAGGGGAAGCAGGGGATGAAGATGGGGGTGGGCAAGGTTATAGGGTTACACAATTTGATGGGTGGAGGGAAGGGTGGGTTGATGAAATGGAAAAGATCCGAGGTGAAAAACAATGTATATGAACTTTGTAAGTAAACCAGTATAAAATAAAAATTTTCTGTTTAAAAAAATGTTGAATGCTATGGCCCTTCTCGGGAGATATGGTGCTTTAGTGATAAGGAACTGAGCTACCAATGGGAAAATACACAGTTGGAATCCACTAGCTGCTCCACGGGAGAAAGATGGGCAATCTACTCTCATGAGATTTACTGCCTCTGAAAACCCAGGAGGGGATCAGCTATGGGATGGTTCCAACTCGAAGGTATATGACAACACATGGGCCTTCTCCCAAGGAAAATGCATACATGGACATGTAAAATATCAGATACTTTCCAAGGACATTTTTAGATCCCTGAAGACCATTGGTAAATGTATTGTATATGTGGCCATGAATCCCAGATGAATAATCCTTCTAGTCAGAAGCACCTATTAGATGTCAGATGTGTTTCATACATTATCTCGTTTAACCCACAAATAACCCCATGAGTTGGAGATGGGTAAGGAGGTTTATTCATTTGCCCAATCTTATACAACTAATGAGAAACATAGAGTGTTTACATAGCAAGTTGAGCTCCTAATCCAAAAGCAATTTGATTGGAATCCACCAATCTAAAGGGGCAAAAAGTTGAGCAGTCTACCCCTGGTTTACAGCCTCAGAGACTGATGGAGGGTCAGAAATGACTTACAGCAGTGATTTTATTTGAATAGAAATTATAAATAATATTGGTTTTTCATACAATCATCCATATGTCTTATATCACTAATTGCCACTCATTAATGTCATTAAATGCATTGTTTAATTAATCTTTTTTTTGTGTATTGCTTTTCCCTTCCCACAACAGATCTATTTATTTTTCACTCCCATATCACTCCCCATACCTTCTAAAACTGATTCTGTGTGTAAACCTTTCCTTAACAGTAGTGGTCTTATACAATAATTGTCTTTTATATGGCTCATTTATGTAATTAAGCATAATTTGTCCTAGATTCATCTGTGTTGTGAAGTGTTTTCTGAATTCTTGATAACTTTTTTTTTGCGTTTCAAAGGATTTTTTTCCTTAATCTTTCTTTTATTTTTATTCTCCATGGATTTTTTTTTATTTTACAAAAGAAAAATCTACTTCTGAATCGGCCAAGTTCAAAGTTAAAAGAAGGATACAACTTCAGTTCTGGATAATGCATCTGTGTTCATTCAAAGCCACTGATCATGTGGGCAATATACCAATTGGTAACTGCTGACAGTGGTCCCTCTATCTCAACACCTTTTTCTGTTACAGTGGCAATTTGAAACCGATTATAAGAACGGGCATCGTGAAAAAATATGGAACGCTTCACGAATTTGCGTGCCATCCTTGCGCAGGGGCCATGCTAATCTTCTCTGTATCGTTCCAATTTCAGTATATGTGCTGCCGAATCGAGCACTTGATAACTTTTTTTTTTTAATTTAGGTTGTTTATTTTTCATTTCAATGAACATCTACAGAGATTTTGGGATTCCATTGATTCATTGTTGCACCCTTCTCCCCG